AGATCCCTGCACGAAACTATCAATTAATAGAGATCTTTGATTTTTTACACATCCTTTTCATCTTTCCGAAGAACTTCCCAATCCAATGAAATTTATCTATATATTTCTCCAGCGGAAAGCTGTTGGTCTCCATGAACTTTCTTTCTTTTGCTAGCGTCAATCAATCAGTGATTTCCACATATACGTAGATTGTCTAAACTCCTACTGAGAAAAGATGTCAGTTTTTAATTCAGCTAACAGATTTCAGCCGCACCAACAAACGTTTTAGAAGGCAAAAAATGCATTTACGACATCATCAGGATGATTACCGATGGCTTGGGGTAGAACTGTTATATTCTACTCTGAATTGTTTTAAGAACAATGGAAGAATTGTCACTTCTTGGGGAAAATTTTTGAACTTCTTCATCTCATAACGTCCTCACATCACATCTAGTTTTCCTAGCTTTAAAACATTTGTTCTTCAACACAGTAAAGTTTACAAAGTCTTCAAATTAAAATGAAAGCGAAATGTAAGCAAAGATTTTCAGTAAAATTAAATAATTACAAAGGCAACACAATCAGTAGTAGTAGGATTAATAAACACACAAAGGTTACTTAGGTTTTACTGCTAGGTCTGTATTCCATTGCGCAAAAAAGTTTCTCTTCAAGTGTTACGACACTTAAATCCGCCAAAAATTGCTAAAATTGATTCATTACGCTTCCTAATTCGAACCAGTCACCAGCTTTTAACAAAAATCCACAGCTCTTCATTGAAATTTCGCTTCCCCCATTACCCACCTAAAATACTAATTGATGGCTTACAAGGTTAATAATTTTTTATAAAATTTCTCACTTTCGTGTACAGTCACATACCAGTAATGGCTAGTTCGTTTTACGTTCAAAATTAACAACATTTTGAAAACAAAAAGAACTTACAAAAATATTATGTTGTTTCATCCAATAACTACTTTACCATATCCCCTGTAACACGAATGCTTGTAGAACCTGTTTCTTGGTCATTAGAGAGCGTTTCAAATCGAAAATGATGTCTTAAGTTACAGGATGTTCCGCATTGAAATCCACACTGTTTTTAGACTCTCCACTCAGAACGGATGACAGTGAAGAACAAAAGAATGAAGAAGGAAAAACAGTCAGAAATCATGTCCTTTATTCAAAAAGTTACAGGTCGGTGTTTTCAACCTGTGGTTCCAACCAAAAAATGTCATTCATTCTCTGGAGACATTAGTACCATACGATAGTGAGTTCTTTTAGCTACCTCACCAGTATTTCCACACAACCGACTGTACAGCACGAATATATGAAAAAAACACTCAGAACTGATCTGAGCAACGCAAAAAAACTTGCGTTAATCGCAAAACATCCTCTAATTTTACAGAAAATTAACTTGCTTTCTGCCAAAAGCGCAAAATACGCGTACAAAACAAATTTGACATGAAAAATATGTATGGATAAGAAATTCTGAAAAAAAGACCAGGTTTTTTAAAGTTAACCCTGTCTTAAAAAGTAATACTTGTTGGCGAGGTGTTGGAACTAAGCTAGGCAGAGCACTTTGCGCTGTAGCGAATCGCGTGGTTAATTTGGAAATGAAAACGTCTAAAGGCACGGAAGTAAATCGCTAATAGTTAAGGACTACCAGGCAGTATAAATCAACAACTGAAATCCGCCTATTTCACCGGCACATTATAAGTAGCAGAATTACATACACAGTGCAGTTTAATTACTATATCTTCCGCAAATCTCTGCATTGGTGGTTAGGCATTGCTTTCCAAATGGGACCTGAGTGGACAATGCTTGGCCGCTTTGTTGAGTTAGGGAATCGCTCGTTTTGATGTTTAACTTTCTTTAAGGAGAGGATAGATGAGGTGCTTTCAGTTGGTATGAATTCCTCAACTTTTTGATTAAGGGGATGCCCATCACAGATAGAATAGGGAACTCATACCAAACACCTCTTTGTATTGTAAACTTTTCCGCTTAAAGCCATTTTACATGTCAGGTTTTGATTGGACGCTATTGCTATTTTGAACATCGGAGCTGTCCTACAGAATAATAGTGACTAATGTAGTTTATTGCTTGGAAAATCAATAACGTTCTTTAAAAACATGAGATCTTCATCGTATTTCTGAATGAATACTAGTCAGTGAAGGTCGAACACCTAAAAGGCATACTTTTGCAAGAATAAAGTTACTCGTTTGATAACCACAGTTGTAGCAAGCCAGCTGCATTCCAATCAGAATTTATGATTTGTGGTTGGGGTAGGTTTATAAGATTTGCGGAAAATTTCAAACTTCCCTTTTTTCGCCATTAACCGTCAGCATAGCGAAGTTACACTGATCCTTTTGACTCTACAAACGTTCTCCCAATGAATTTTCTGAAATTTTCTCGATGAATTCCCTGGTAATTTTGCAGCTCTTCTGCATTAAAATTTCTGCAGTTCCTTACTCCAATGAATTGTTGCTATCTTCTTTACAAAGTTCTCAGAAAAAGAGACGGATGGAGCCCTCGAAGAATCGATGACTGTCAATCAACACTTTATTACCAATCAAAAGAAAAGATCTAAATCACCACACTGATGACTCATCTACAACTCTTCAGTCCTCACATCTCCATAGTTCTCCAGGCAAATCATGAATTTTAGCAGCTTCATTTGCCATTTTGAAAAGCTTTGAATGCTCGCTCCGATATCCACTGAACTTTGCTCTTGATTTTGGGTATTTATTTTAAAAAAATTTTGAAACGTTTTGTAAAAAAAAGTGACTCTTTTCTAGATTGAATGCAGAAATTTTGTAGACAAAGATCCATTTGCTAATCTCCAGCTTCCAACTTACGCTGCGCAAAAGGTTTTTCAATTTTTATGGCAACGAATAATTCAATTTTCTACCTGAAGCCACCCTTACATAACACAGTTGTTATAGCACTTCGGACACAATTGCAGTTTTCATCACTGTGATAATTGTTGGCCATACTATAATGAACAACCAGTACAGTATTGTGAAAATTCAGAAAAAAAAAGATAAATACCTGTTTTTGCGGTGAGAAGGAGAGGAATAAAATTGATTTGAAGATGGGAGATTGGGAAAGTTGTTTCTGCGTTTACGGTACTACGAAATCGTTTTGGGACATCTAATTACATTTGTTTACCTGCGGCTTTGACACTCCCAAGGAAAAAAACAGCAATTGACGCCTACGGTGCACTTAAATGAAGTGGCGGCGTAATGCGCAGTGTAAGTGTTTTGTGTGGTTTCAGACGGTCTGATAGTTGAGGCAAATGAGTTTGTTAACGATGGTTGGAGGTGTTTTGCGGTATAATGTGCAGGTAAACGTCGCATATTTGGTGGTGGCTGCACGACGATTGGCTTTTTAGCACTCTACAACTTAATCGTCCAGTTTCTCATTTTTGATCAATTTGAGATCAATCCGGCGTTTCATCTTTGGATTTTTTTTTTCTGCTGCTTCTCGTTTTTTCAATCCTCTTATTTTGTTATTGCTGATGGAGTTTGGTTATTTGTTGAGGATAATTTAGTATTAAAGCTTTATAACCTCAACTGATCATCTGATATATAAACTGCATGTGTAGATAATTCTTTGATGATTAGCCATTTGTTGTTTGAGGGAAATTTACCAGTCTTAGAACTATAAAGGGTAGATAATCAACTACTGTTTTAACTTTAAAAAATATGTGACTTGACTGTAAGTTATGAAGTGACCTTCAGTAATTGCTATTTGCTTTCTACTCCTCTATGAAGGATAAAGACAATATTTCTTACTGAAAAATTAATTCATAATCATCGGCATTTTCAAACTGAACAAATACGGTTACATAAATGATCTGACGAGGTACTGCTCAGTTTTCTCTTGCGTAGTTGTCAAACTTAACTATTCACTAATGACTCAATTTGTTTTTCAAACAAAGTATAATTATGGCTGGTAGAGAATTTTGCTTGTTTTACTGCTGACGCTTGGGGAGTACTTTAAAACATTTTAGTGTTTGGAGAATCTAATTTAAATCTTTTAGATTGAATGCTTTTTCTTTTTTTTCTCCGTGTACTCGTTCTTACCTTTAAGAGCTATCAGCTTTTAAAGCTTGAGAAGTTACCACTTACAATGAACTGGTTTCTAAAGCGTTGTACCAAAATTGTGATTGACGCACTAGGAAAAAAATATGTAAACTTGCACGCTCGTTTAGTTACGAAGTTTAATTACAGTATCATTGCAATTGTTCCAGTCGTAGGTGTTCAACATGAGTGACGAAGTCATTACCCAATTTTCTGCGTTAGATGTCAAGGATGAACCTAAAGAGGTATGTGTACGATAGATTCCGCGTTAATAACTCAACGGCATTATTAATTTTAAAGTAGAAGCAGTTCAAGTGATAATGAATATTGTTGCTTATACGATATTAAAACTGATGGAAGGCTAATAGTAAAATAACCAAGCGTCTTGTAAAAAATAGGAACATAAATTAAGCGCCGGTCTAATAGTACTCACGTATTGAGGTGTATCACTTATCGTTTAACATAATTACAGGAGGAACGTAACAACATGTTTCAGTTCTCCTGAAGTAATCTTAAATTCTTAATTGTTTTTAGTGAGAATTCACCTAATTACAGAAAGAAAGCACAGAGGAACAAACAGTAGTCAAGGAAGAAGAGAAGTTCGGTCGTGAAAATGAAAGCAGAGGGGCACGTAAGCAAAGGAAAGGTAATGAAGAGCGTGAAGAGCAAGATGAGGAACCTGTAGTTCTGGAAAGAGGTTTGCATGCCGAAGTTTCTCTCATTGCGACCTTCCTTTACGTGTCCATATGGTTAAGTGATAAGCGACATGGAAGCTGAGCTTCTAGTCAAGTTCTTTTTAGCGGCTTGAGCCTACTCACGGTCTTTTCCAAAACACAAGCAAATTTTTGACTGCTTAATGGACCAGTGAAGTGGTTATTTTATGACTAGTGTGGTTCGAAGCCACTGAGTTTTATTTGCACCTAAACATTGTAGTAGTTGATCAAATAACCGACGGCAGTTGTAGAACTCGTTTTTCAAGCGTATCAGAAGTCGAATGTTAACTTTTCAGGCGTCAAAGGGCACGTGAAGTGGTATAATGTTTGGTATCATTATGGATTTATTGGTAGAGATGACGATCCATCGGCTGACGTCTTTGTTCATCAAGTTTCTTTACGGTTACTTTCAGAAAGGGGAGATTAAATTGCGGAGGAGAAATACTTTCCGCGTTCTTTGAGCATAAAATGTTTTTGAGATCCCTTTTTCAAATCTAGATATCTTTTGCAACCTTAAGATTTTAAAAGTGTTACGGTTTACTACAGATTAATTTCTAGAAAAATTTCAGTCCGGTATTGCTAAATCTAGAACGAGCAATCCTCGTTATCGCACTCTAGATATGGATGAAAGGGTTGTTTTCGATGTTGTAGCTGGAAAAGGTGGCGGGATGAAAAAAGCTGTTAATGTGACTGGTCCTGATGGGGAAAAGGTACATTTGTAGGATTCTGGAGCTTGAAATGAATGAGGATTTTGCCCGTTTTAGCTCCATTTTTTGTGCAGTCATTCAGGTTTTACCCTCTTAAGCGCTGTCATTTAGGTGCGCGGTTGCTACTTCTTCGAACAATACGTGAGGAACTTTGCTTACTTTGACCCAGGAAGAAATCGTAGACGTGGAGACACTCGTCGTATGTTTACGTCAATCTCTTATTGTCTTCTGCAGTAATATTTCTTCTTAAATACGGCTTCCGCTCGCCATGTTAACAGCCCTTTTTTTTTTAATAGACGCGTTTTAAAACAGTAGTTATTAAAACTAAAAGCTCATTTCAGCTCGGTTTCTTAATGCGTGGCGGAAAGGACGCAAGAACGCTGAAAGGGATGGAGGAAACAGGAAACGTAACTCGGAAAAGAATGTGGAAGAAAATGAAGAGAACAAAATAAGGAAAGAGAACCGGCCTGGAAATGGCGGTATAAGGGAGAGAAAACGTAGTTTTTTTTTTATTTTTACCATTGCTAGAGTATTATTTGTTCCTATTAACTAGTTCTTGGTAAATTGCTTCGAATGTTGATTTTAGATGGTGATCGACGCCGAAATACTGAAGTTGCTAAGGAAGCCAAAGGTGGTAAAGAAGTCAAGATCGAGCCGGAAGTTAGTGGGAATGAGGATGTTGCTCCTGCCGAGAACGAAGTTATTGTAAATGCGTAAGCGTAACGATTTTTTCTCAGGGTTTTCGGGCTTACGCTGAAGTATTAGTTTCTTGTAATTTTGTATTTGTTAATTCTAATTGTTTACCTTTGGGAATGTTTTTTTAAGGTTGTTGTAGTATAAATTTAAACTGTCACTGTTTCTTAAAGCCCTTTAAAATTCTGTGAATATGGCTTTGTAGGATTGATCTCGGTGACTTTGCTGATAGGTACAAGGAGTTAATTGCTCTCCGTCAGCCTTCATTGTTCATTGTTTCTGCTGCTTGTTTAGAAATAAAATTTTGTTCAAACATTTCGACTGAGCAGTTTTTATTC